ATGCTGTTGTGTGTATTTATATATGTGTGTCTGCTAGTTTACATAAGACACACCATTCCAACGATACGCCATTGTGAATAGTATAATTGAGACCCAGGCTAGTTTGGTAATGTTGGTGTATGTTTACCCGTATACACCATTGTTATAATGTAAAGACGCACGAAAATTATGTAGCCTCCTTTTCGAGTGAGGTAAAGAGCGGAGTACGTGAGGCGGCATAAATTTCAACAATATCACACGACTGTGGCGCTCTCCATTTTTTGGTGAAAAAAGTTAATTGTCTCCTTGTTTAGTTTGTGTTAGGTAAGCTGATGAAATTCTTGTTGAAATTTTACAAAAGAGGAGTATGTGTTCATGTGTGTACTGTGCAGTAACGTATGCATATTAAGAAGCATTAACAAAAAATATATTATAAAAAATCATTGAGTGGGACTATTTTACTATTTTTATTTAGTTAGTCGTAAAAAATGGATCTTCAAATCTAATTTTTAATATTTCTATTATTTAAAAGTTTTGAAATCCATTGAGACTTTACGTTCGTTACATAAAACAAAATGCATTTTCTTTTTGCTGACCGTACCTTTCAGCCGCTGTGTAATGCGGCTGCTTATTGCCCGTTAGGTACACCGAAATAAAGCTTTTATCTAGAACAATATTGGAATTTTGCGTAGTTCTAAAACTACTTAAATCGAACTTAAACGTTAAAAGCATCTGTTTAAAGTGCTTCTCAAATGATGTACATAGTTTTAACATCGAAAACATGACAGTGCAATGTAACATTTGACTTTAACGAAATAATTTGAAATAATAAAAAGTGAAAACAAACAACATAGATGAGAATGTTACCTTAACCCCCTTGCCCTTCACCTCGATCAAAACAATAAAACGGAATCGCAAGCAGCGGACTACGCTCTCGGTCGATAGGCACAAATCGGTTATAAGAACTTTATTATGTTATTTTAATAAATTAATAAATGTTATGGTTCATCGATCGCCCTCGCTTAATTAGCACATTAAGTATGCTGTTTGTTTTCACTTCAAATGCTAAATAGAATTATTAAATTGATTCATTGTTTTCATTCCATCGGAAGTCCTTATCGGGTTGCAAAACATCAAACGAACTTAATGATTAAGAAATTATCATAACTAATAAAGTTATTATACAAGAAATGATATGTTAGACATTGCACACGACTCTACTTTATAACAAAAGATTTTATTGTTCAGGGAGCCGACTTTTTATTTTACAGTAGCGTTTACAAGAACTTTATGTTTTTTTCTGGCTTCAATATTTATAAACCATGACAAAAAAATGCAAAAGTGGAAATAAAAAAAAAAAACAAATAAAATATTCAAATTCAAACGAGGCTAAATTTTGTTTCCCGGTATTTCACTGGCCTTTGTACTTGTTTATCGAAAACTTAATACATTTCAGAAAGTAAATATGCCTATACTTTGAAATATAAAAGTGTAAAATAATACAAACGTACAGTGCGATTTCTTATCATTATAGATAAGAGCACTTACAGTATATAAAAGGGTACAATAAATCTTTTCCTTAAAGCGGGCACAATGCAACTTTTCCTTTTGTTGTGTCTAGTGAAAATTTCTTCGGGCCTCAGCCAAGAATCTCACGAGTTCGTAATTAAATATTTTCAAGCGAAACGTGTGAAGACCGTATGTTTACTATCGTGTGGATATCCTTGTGGTTTGTTTTAAATCTATGGTTTAAAGAAATATTATCCGCCATTATTTTTTCTCACTTTTATTCATTATTTTTATTGATACATGATATAAGTCGTGTAACTTTGGTACAAGGTGCATACCTTGTACCAAAGTTACGTGGATAATATGTGACAGTGGCATCACTGTCACATATTATCCATTAGTACTGCACAAAAATTGAAATGTTTTGCTCCACCTAATATAACCACCACCTTGAAGATTCATAAGAATAATACAATGCATAATAATACCAAAATCTAACTGGTTTCTAAATACTTCAAAACCAACTGTAATTTTAAACAAATCAATAAAACAATTTTAACGGCTCAAACCGTGAAATTTAATCAATTCTCAAGAATGATCCGATGTTTTAAAAAATCTATTGACGAAGCCTCCCTTGGCATATGTTCCATTTAGCCTAATTTTTAATTAGTTTTGTAAATATTAAATATTTTCAGGTGACCTTAATTTCATCAAACAAGCGTTTGCACATTCGCTATTAGTAACCAGGCACGTAATAAAAAATGGAACTCATGTTCAAGATATAAATGTCTGTTTCCGAAAGGCATACTCGTTAACCGGGGTCATATTGGATGCTACGTGTGATTACTATGAAGATGTCTTGTTGCTAGTTGGTATTGTTTTACCTTTTGTTAACATAAGATTATAATTTTCAAGAATAACATAGTGTAAATTAATTTCTAGTTTTTAATATATGTCCAATAAATTACGTACTCGTTGTTAGATTAGCGATAAGCGGTACGGGTTCCAGACCCAGTCTAAAAGTTATTGATTTATTGTTTTTAATTCGTATTAACTAATTATTATTTTTTTTGGAACGAAATGTCCGATATTAATTTTAAAATATGTGCCTTGCAGGCATCCGAGAAAAAAATGTTAAATTCAAAAAACTTTTGGCTAATATTTCAAGAGGATGAAACTAACTTAAATGATTCATTCGGTATATCTTATGACTTAAGAGACGATATTTTTAAAAGACTAAACTTATCAGTCGATGCTGAAATCACTATAGCCTCGAGAAATGGTGAATATGTTTTTAAATAAATGTGGATGTAAAATGAAATATTATCTATTTAAAAAAAACACTTTTAACGGTTTGAAACGCAAAATATATTAGTTAACTTATTTATTATTTTATTTAACTACGACCAGACGTTTCGGATGCTGCAGCGGCTAAAATAAGTTAACGAATATATTTCGTTAAACTGTCAAGTTTAATTTAATTTTTGGTTTGTTTTGGATATATAAGTACTTGTTTATAACGAAATTAAGAATTTTTAGATGGTGGCTATGAACTGCGTGAAGTTTTCAATTTTGGTACAATACAAAACGGACATTATAAGACAGATATTTTCGGAAATTGGAGCAAATATACAGGTAGAACATTTACATTATCAATCTTTTTTAATATAACGAACTACGGCATATATGTATGGGCTGGCTTAGCTTAAAATTAATAAATTTATTATCTTTGTATAGATCATAAATTTATTAATTTTAAGATAATGAATTGTTATATTGTACCTCTTGTGGTTGTTAATAATCTAGTTGTTATAAAACAACGTTAAATAAATAAAATATCTTTTTACATATTAGTGCACATAATAAGTATATACATTACATTTACAGTGAATTCGAACTCACGTCCGCAGCCTTAATTCACTTCTAGTAGAAATACCACTGTAGTCGTTGGTTTGAGTCCCGCATTGATTTTTTCAATGTTACACAACTAATTAATATATTTCAGGTATATCTTTGACAAGTACGTACAAATATACAAGAAGATTCGATTTAGAAGGATTGCGACTAAGATTGATGATTGTGGTAATTAGTTTATCTTTTAACTGGTGTAAATTCTCATGTATAAAAGCAGTTAGTAAAAAGAGATGTGGTTCTTCGTTTGCTCGAATATATGGATATTAAAATTGGCTAATCTGGATTTAACTACCAGCGAAGCATGTTGGTCGAATTTAGAATGATTAGCGTAGATTTTCAAAGCAAAGCAGAATAACTTGGCGACAGAGCACAGTGCTGAAAAAAGTGCTCAATGGAATGCTTATCTGTCTAAGAGTTTGAGCAAGAGTTGAATTATAAATGTTATTTATATATTATAAGAGCTGACTATGAGCTATATAAACGATGAATTTTCTTCGGTTGTTGAATCCGTAAAGCAGTTTTTATTTTAAATTTCGAATTATATTTGTATGCATATGTATTCTATTTCTTTTTCTATATCATGATAGTTTGGAGGAAAGCCACAAGATTTCAAACCAGAATTAATACTTCAAAGGAAGACACAACCAGGCGTTTCTATATTCAGCCAGACAAGTGGAATGGTTCTTTACGAAGTAGCTGCTTTGCATAATATAAAGTAAGTTTCAACTAGATTAATCCTAGATGTCCCGAAGCAATTTGGTCTAATTACAACAATACTTAAGATATGGGATCGATACCAACAGATTCCAACAGGGCCCATGTTTATGAAAACGACTAAAGATTGAAAATACCAAAGGTAATATAGGTCGACAGCATATAACGGCATTATCTATATCATATGAAACAATCTATATAATCAGTTAATTTGAATATATATTTCTACTGTCTATAGTTTACGCGAGTAGTACACATTTAAATAAAACACTTTAACGGTTTAAAACGTCTCCCCGTGACCACGGCTGCTGCAAAGCATCCGAAACGTCGGGCCGAAGTTAAAAATCATTTTCAAATAAGTTTAACTAATATATCGCGTTTTAAACCGTTAAAGTGTTTTATTTAAATATATATTTCTATTAAAAGCTAGTTGGGCAAATGCATACAGAAAGTTATCGGACCTATGTTCATTAAGAAAAAAATGTATATATATATTTGATTGTCTTTAAAATATTAAAAATTACTTTCGTCAAAAAAATTTTTGTCTTTCTGTCTGAATATAGGTATACTGCTCGGTATCTGCCATCAGATATTTCCGGATTATCAGTCTTTGGATACATTGATATATTTTCAGTAATTCAGACATTATTACTACTGAAACAAGATACATTATAAAGAAAAAATCTTCTTAATTTTTAGCTTCAACTACAGTATTACTGACAGATGGGCCGGAGAATACAGTAGAGATTTTCCCGTAGTAAGTACCATTTTTGCACGTTGATCTGGACCCCACACCGAGGCGCTGGCATTCAAGTCACGCAATGATATAAACTGCATTGTTGGTCTCGTGCTAAGTCCTCGATTTAAATCCTAGAGCGGATAAAATGTTTCTGCTACGGTATTTGGAACTTTTGGAAGTAGAAGATCTATACCTGGGCCTCGGAGAGCACGTTAAGTGAATTATCGCCATTATCAGGTCTGAATTATATAAAGAGTTTGAAATTAAAACGAATTTATGTTTGAAAGGAAAAAATACTAAACTTATCGTTTGACTTTTCACAGGGTTAGAGGTCACAGGGTACCTGTGAAAACCCTTATTTTGTATTCCCTTTTCAGTCAACGGCGAGTGCGCTATATTTCGGAGATATCGATATTGCACCAGTTCTACGTTACACAACTCAGCATGCGGGATATTATGACGTCATACATCCGCATGTCACTTACGCAGCGTGAGTAGTGCCCACAGCTGGGATAGAAACATGGGATTGGGAATACAATTTGTTTAAAATAATATTTTAGCTAAAACAAGTTCGTTTACAATTTACTAGTATTTGTCTAATGTAATATTTTGATTATAAGATATGAATTATGTGATTACAAAACGTATTATGTATCACCTGAAGATTGTGAAAATAGTATACATTTAAAGAACATATTTAGTTAATTTAATTTTGGATAAAACCCCTACGTTCTGAATATTTGCCAATAATCATTAAAGTTTGTGTTTTGAACCTTTAAAAGATGTTTTAAATCTTAACAATATATTTCCAGAGGCGGTTACTTCTATCGAATACCAACAACTGGCGTTGGTAAATTTGAGAACCAGTTTCTCACACCGTTTACCGGTACGGTCTGGTTGTGTGTGGTGGTGGTAATTGCTTTGTGTGGCGTTGGTTTGGTGTTAGGTGCGAGCTTTGAGGATCGGCCCCAAGCTGGAAGATATGCTTTCTTCTCCGTTGTGGCTCTCACTTGTCAGCAATGTGCGTGAATTTTTTATATTTCTTATTGAGTAAGTAAGTAACTTAAAATCACTTAAGGAAGTGTAGTTTATACAAATGATTCTATTTCTAGTCTTTGAAGATGTCGACGAAAGTGCTGTAAAACGAAATTCAACAGGTAAATAATAATAAGTATTTATTATTAGTTTTAAAGAATAATTTATAAAAAAAATAGCTAGTAAACTTTAAAAGCGTAGATATATAAATTGTTCATAATTGTTGACACGTTCGTTGTTATGAAGCCAAATTTATGGTTAACAATTACCGATCGTGGGTTCGATTTACACGCCCAAATGTTTGTAAAATCAAATTATGATTTCATGAAGCATCTCGTGAGACTTTGTTACCTTGAAAATAGGTTGACACCTTGTGAATGAAATTAAATTAATTTTAACATGACAATTACTAAACTTGCAGCTCGTAAGCTAACAATTCTAGTGACCGGTTTATCGTGCGTCCTGATTTTCAACTACTACACTAGTAGCGTGGTCAGTTGGCTCCTAAACGGGCCTCCACCATCCATCAACTCACTATGGGAACTCATGAATAGCCCACTAGAACCAATATTCATGGATGTTGGATACACTTGGTCATGGCTTCAGGTAAGAGGATTTTTTTATGATAGAAGAGAATAGATATATTGGGGGTTCACTTAGTGGTAGGTGTAATTCCCCAGCCTATAGCATCCAAACCAGATGCTATATGCTAATAGGTCAACAGCGACCTATTTTGGCTTTGGATATTCGGAAATCCACAGACCGAAATCGACACGAGATTGAACTTCACAACTTTTTAATTTGCGGACGGTGGTTCGTGATCCGGAGGGAATTTCCATATTCCTACCACCTATTTAATATCCAGATTTCCAGATGAGGTCCAACATGTTTCAGAAAAATTAAAAATTGATTAGAAAAACGTTTGACCGGTGGGGATCGAAGTCACGACCCGTTGATTATACGAGTTACAATGTGCTACCATTACATCAATAAACCCGTCATGTTAGTTAATTCCTTAAATCTCACGTAAAATAAATGATGACACAAGCGAGACATGAACTCACAAAGTTATTTCATGTAGTTTCTTAATGTTTTTAATACATCTACTTGTAAGTAATTACTTACTTTCAGAAACGTAATTTGATCTAGAAGAATCGTTTAACTTTTTTTTTATTATAAAATTTTTCATTCATTATAAATTTCAAATATATCTGTTGTAGTCACCAAATTATTATTTCAATGTAAGAGATGCGAAGGCAGAAGATGTTTTGAAGAAGAAGGTAAAGAAGAAAGGACCCCATTTAGTATCGACGCCGACTCAGGGAATTGAATTGGTTCATAAGGGAGGTACCAACTTTTATATAATATCAACGTAGGACTACAAGTTTTTAACACGAAATGTTGATCTGTTATGTGTATTTATTATAAAAGTGTAAATAATATTCGTGGGTAGACTTATAGTAACTTTTATATAAGTATTGCCTATATGTTATGCGATAAGCACGCAAAAATACTTTTAACAATATGGAAGACGGTCTGATATCAAACCCCTGGGAGTCCACATTTAAAACAATAGATCTTAAACCAAATCACCGGTAAACGAGAGGACACCAATTTTTCAGAATGCCAATTACGCAACAGATGACGTTAATGTAGAAGTTTTGCCTTTACCACTAGAATGCTGCTAAGCATCCGAAATGTCGTAGTTAATTAAAAAAATAAGTACAGTAATATATTTCGCGTTTTAATCCGTTAAAAGAGTTTTCTTAAAACTTAGTTAGGTTTTCTAATACCCCACTATAATTAATATGCAAATTCCGTCGGGCATAGAAAGAAAGAATCAACTACTTGCATGTAAATTAAATCGATCAATGAAAGGAAAATTTTAAATGTAAATTAAACATTCTTTTGATTTAAGGATACGTCTTATACTGCGATACAGACACCGCAAATAAGTACATAGCGTTGACGTTCTCGGCGAGAGAACTTTGCGATGTGGGACGGCTTCCGGGTCTTGAAAAAATACCTATGTACTCGTGTGTACAGAAAAATAGTCCTTATAGAGAATTTTTCATATGGAGGTAATTACATCATTTATGTATAAACGGGTACACTCTACGAGTATGCCTACGGCGTAGCACTGTCTACAGAAAATCATAGTTGTAATTATTGTAGAGTTTGCTACAGTAGGGTCTACGGCGTAGAAGGATCTACACAATCGTAGCAGAGACACTGGTTGTAGTCATAATTTACGATATTTTTTTATTGATTTATGGTAAGATTCAAGCTAGACTATATTTATACTGCAGTTATAACGATGACATTATTCCGGAATTCAACCCAAGAACTTGCTGTATTTGTAAACTATCTATACTAATATTATAAATGCAAAAGTAGTTACTTTTGCATTTATAATATTAATATTTAAGCCGGACAGACAGACAGAGTTCTGTCTGTCTGTCCGGCTTTAACTCCGAAACTACTGAACTGATTTAAATGAAATTCGGTACGGTAGATATTTTAGAGTTTGAGAGGGACACGCTACTTTTTAATGCCAAATAAGGGTTGATTGGGTTTGAAAAGGGCATGAAAGTTTGTATGGAAATTCGTGGTTTTTGAAGCTAAAACAATGAAACTTTCTTCTTTGGCTTTTTGGAAATAGAAGTGGGAGTGGAAGTGGGAGTGAGAGTGAGAGTGAGAGTGAGAGTGAGAGTTAGAATAGGAGTGATGTGAGGTGAGAGTGTTGCGGCAAAGTAGCACTTACAACATGGATTGGCTGCCTTAAATGCGCCCTTACATACATTAATAAACAACCTAAATAATTAAAAATCTACCCCAAGTCACTATTTCATGCGGACGAAGTCGCGGGCACAGCTAGTAAAATATATTTTTAATAAACTAACTTATGCAGCTTTGCTCGAATGGCAGAACAAGGCATTATAAAGCTGATTCAAACCAGGACTTATCCGCCTGAAATAAGATGTGAAGGTAGTACTCCAAGGGCACTGGCTTTGGGTGGAGCGGCACCAGCATTTATAATACTGGCTTTTGGATATATAATGGGAACTCTTTTCATGGTTATGGAAAGGTAATTAATGGCTATCTTTATTTACGACTTCACAATCTTCAATCCATGAAAAAAATTATTCTTGACCGTTTATAGTGACTTCTTATCTTGTTGCTCATTGAGTTTCATAAGTGATATGTTATACATTATTATAGGTTCGCTTGTGTGTGTGAGTATTTGTAATGTTTTCCTAACATCTATTAAATAATATTGGAAATACTAAAGATAAATAAAATATACTTTTTTTTCTTTAAAATTTTAAAAATAATTTAAATTGGTCATCATTTTTTTGTTTGTCTGTCTGTTCATCGTGATTCTACATAGTGTTCAAAAGAGCAACATAACTGACAAGAAACTCAGTTCGGCTTTTTTTAACATGTCTTATAAACTAATACATTGTTGTGAATTTACTAGCCTAAGGAGCAATTCATATATAAAGTATAAAAAATACTAAGTTTTATTAAAAGCATGTTTAATAATGATTTATCTTTTCAGGATTATAAAAGTCCACAAGGATAAGAAGATGATGAAAGTAAAATATTTTGAATGATTTATGCTCATAGAAAAATTTTGAAATATTTAATATTTTTCACATGCACAGCATTTTACAGCACATGATGGCATTGTATATAGAAAACAAAAAGTAGTTGTTAATTTTAAGCACTTAGAGTTCTTAAATTAAATTTGATAATGTTAGAACTTAAATAAATCCAATTTAAAATATAATTTTATTTCTGAACTATAAAATTTGAGTTATTATAAGATTATTAGGCAATTTCATTTACCCAGAAAAAGCATTTAAAATGCTCAAATATTTTAAGAAATTAAATTTTGAACAAAATCTAAATGGAGATGTTGTTATTTGCGGATTTAATGAATACATAAAGCTCACAAGCCAAATACCGTCTCACTGCGTCGGGTAACCGTTGTGAATACTCCAAAATGGAGTCCTCGAAGAACAAGCCAGTTAATGGATCGGTTACTTAATTGTAATCAATGAACATAGTCGTAGTTGTAAATAGTTTTTGATTTTGATTTTAAAAACAATTTACTCTAGTAGTAAATTTAGATAAAACACTTTTAACGGTTTAGAATATATTAGTTTACTTATAAGTCATGGTCGTCTGTGACCATGGCTGCTGCGAAGCATTTAAAACATCGGGCCATAGAATACAATAATAAGTTGAGTATAATAAACTTCGTATTTTGATACGAAACGTCGGGCCGAAGTTAAAAATCATTTTTAAATAAATTTAACTAATATATCGCGTTATAAACCGTTAAAGTGATAAAAGGCCTTGGGGATTGAATCCACGACCCGATTATTAGTTGTGCATGCCTATTATTATACCAACGAACCCCTCGTTTAACTATACAAGTGTAAATTTTATTTAAAACGGTAATGCAATATCCAGTAAATGTGCATGCAGTGAAGTGATTTTGAGCGCACTGAGTTAATTATAATCCTTCTGGTTTATTCAGTATTCTGCAAAATAAAGTTGTAAAAGTGCTTTGTTTGAAATCTCAAAAAAACGAGAGTAACACGAAAATTACAAGAATTCTCGAGACAATTCTTAGAAGTTTTAATTATTACCTCTCGAGACGTAACGACCTAGTTCGTTTATCAAAGAAAGTCTTGTTTTTACAGTTAACTCGACGGAACTTCTCGACACTAAACGGGGAATATTTTAAAAAGGTTAATTTCAGTTTTCTAGACTCTCTCATTGTTGTACGCAATAACGGTGGCTTAGTTAAATAGTTTCTTTAACTTAATTAATAGTTACGGGCCCTGGGAAAAGGAATATGAAAACAGCACTGTGCTCTGAGACTTTCGTATTTAAACACTAGTTTTTACTGAATTAATAATCTATTAAGATTTAAGAAATGCGATAGCTAAGCACCTCCGAATTTTTGTTAAGTCTGTAAGTTGCCCGGTTGGAATCCCGGGAAAACATTTGAATTTACTACGAGTACACAAAACACTAATCTCTTATTTGCCTATGTTTTAGAATTCAATAGACAGTTTAACTTCGATTTTTAAATTAAACAGAAATTTAATAAGGCGTCCTACAGATACATTTTAGAATAATTGGAAAGTCCATAGAATTCGCAATGCCTAGATCACTATCAGTAAAGCATAAAGAATCAATATCGCGTGACCATTACATTAGCTAATGCAAAGGTAATGTGAGTCGCGACCCTTCTAGTCCCAGGGGAAATCAGCCCTTATCATCTGAGACCCACCCGGTTTGAATACATTAATACAGCCATCAATTTATTATAATTTTCTTGTTAACTGTTTTGGGTGGAAATCAAAATCTGTTTTTGTGGTATTTGTAACACGAGGAGATATATATATTAAATAAAACACTTTTAACTGTTTTAAACAATACATTTATTCGTCGACTTTTTTAATGTATTGTATTTTTTCGACGTTTCGGATGCCTTGGAGCAGCAGTGGTCATACGGAATAAGTCTAATAAATGTACTACTCGCGTCAACCATAGATAATGGTTTATATATTATTGCCACCAATTTTTTTTGCGCTACTGCAACTATGGGATAAAAAAATCTATATTAATCACAGAACTGAAACATTAAAGCCAGCTGAAGGCACGGATCAATGCATAGCAATAAGCCAGCACAGCCTTTGACGGTGTCTAGCAAATATTATCATAAAAATATTGGAAAACCTCTTTTCCAGCCTCATTCCTTTAATACCAAAGATGCGAACCACTATTGGTTTACTTTGAAACTTTTTCAATAATCATATTCAATATTTATAATTTAATCATATTACGTTAGTTTACGTAACATTTCTATTAAATATGCGAGCACAAGATTTTTTATGAACTTTAGTTTATCTGTAGTTTACGCGAGTAGTGCATATTTAAATAAAACAAACGGTTTCAAACGGGAAATATATTATTCTTAATTTTGCCTTTATTTAAGTTTAAAACCAGGGCTACCTAAATAATTTAATTTGTAATCTATGGTCTCGCCAGTAATTGATATATATTATGCAACAAGGACTTCGTCTTCGTCTGTGTCTCTTTCACGTATTAATCTTGAAAAGAAAAGATCACATATTTATTGCTTGAACTTAACATTTCAAATAAAAATATAAAGTACTAAGCGAAGATTTAGGCTTGTATAAATTAAAATATAGTAATAATTTCAAATGTGTAAGATCGTAGCGTTTCATGAAATACAGGATTTCAGGAAGGACTTAACACATTAAGCCATAAGCATACCGTAAAATATGAATTTACATACATTTTCATATATCTACATGAATTTATCATTTGCATGCGACCGCGTACCCAAGTGAACATCAAAGGAGCATATTCTTGAACTTATTTGAATATTTCACGAGGTACAAAACTAATGATCGTAACATAATAGTAGCGGAGAGCGAATAAAAACTGCGTATAAGGAAAATTGTAAGGTTTACAGATATTTATTATGTAAGAATTTTCACAATTTACCGAAAACGACAAATTTCTTTTTATACAATTTTAGTGGGCCTAATAGTATTTTTGAATTGTAATACTATGTATTGTGTATTATGATAATAAACATAATTACTTTTAAAATTATATTTGCTAAATAAGTTGCAAAGAAAGAAGTTTATGATATATTAGATTAATCTTGCGGTAGTTTTTTTTTATATGTAGATTACATAGAATATAAAGAAAGTACCAAGATATTGCTAAACCTTTAACGTTATCTACGTGCGATTCTAGAGTGTTCTCTTTATTTATATTAAGTTTTATTTTAATCCTTGCAGTAACATGGTGTCTAGCAGTGAAAATGAAAATTATCCTTATTCATTGGTCTCAATAACCAGCAGTAAAAACAATTAAACAAAATGGCTGCGCCGCTTCTACTCGCTTCTGCTTATGTTAGCGCCCGGTACTTAAAGGTCAGATCGTTATGAAATAACGCACGAAGGTTTCACGAGAGGCAATAAATACTTTTTAGAGCCCCTTAAAAGTAACTTAAGCACGTTACTTATTCAAGAGTCACAACTGGTACCAAGAGAAAGTTTCTTAATATCTTTTAAGTGAGACAAATTAGTTACTACTATGATAAAAAGTCCGTTTAAAATTGTTCGTTTAAGTTTAAAAATTAAATACTGTCTGTAGTTTACGCGAGTAGAACACGTTTGAATGTTTGCTCGTGCTCCAAAGCATCCGAAACGTCAGGCAGGCGTAGTTACAATAATTTAAAAAATAATGTCAACTAATCTAACTCGCGTTTTAAACCGTTAATGTGTTTTTAAGAAAAAAAAATTACTTAAACGTCCACAGAAAGTGTCTCTCCGATGTTCTGGCAAAGAGAAAACACTTTCATATTTACTCCTGGAAAGTTTTAATTTCTATTTTTTTAAATGTAACGAAGTCGGGTTAATTACTTAAACAAAGATTTTTTTAGATTAGAGAATAATATTAGTCGAGGGCCGCATGCACCGCTTTACAATTTCCGTACGGTCAGCAGAAAAACGGTCACCTTTGCGAAGTGCTGACGCTACCTCACCTGAAATTTATGAAGAATACTCTTATCTAGTTCATAAATCACGACCAACGTTGGGTCCCCTAATGTCACTTTGTTCCTGCAAATTCAGCGATTTCCTATTATTTGATATAGTTTTTCCGTTTTACTAATAGCAGTGCAGTAAAACATTTATGTGAGATAAATGTTTTACTGCACTGCTATTAGTAAAACGAACGAATTATTCGTTATCAAGCAACGAGTACTCGATTTGGAAAATCGTTATTTAATGAGACTTGAGCAATTCAAATTGAACTTGTTGTTTCTAATTTTACAACAAAATATAAATTAGTTAATAAAAGTGTTTGTTTGAACGCGCTTATCTCAGGAGCGACGGGTTGGAATTGAAAAATTATTTCTGTGTTAGATATAACCATTAATAAAAAAGGCTTAGGCTATATTACGCTGCGACTAAAAGAAGCGAAGAAACAATGGAAAATGTGAAAATCGAGGAATCTTTCAGAGCTTTCGCAGCGTGTGTAGTAAAAATGGTTCAAAAGATCCAAAAACATGTATTATAAAATGATATCTTTTTAAATAATATAAAAATAGTGACAATATATTACGTCCCTTTTAAAATAAAAAAAGTCGCAAAAACGACGGGACGCGAACATTGTTGATAACAGCTATAATATATAAGACTGAGGAGGGTGTTAACAAAAATAAATTTTGATTGACTATCGAATGCGGGCGAAGTCGTAAACACAGCTAGTTCAAAAATATATTTTAACACATTAAAGCCTGTAATAACAAAATAATTTTTATTGTGTGGTGAAAGCTACACGACATATAAAAACTGGTAATAGGTAATTGGACTTACCTCAGTCAAAAACTAGGAATCACCTTGCAAGTTTAATAGCTATTTGAAGTAAACCTGGCCTCTAGCCAACGACGTTGCCAATTTCGTATAGAGGCCCAATTTGTTGGTCAAAATAATGCAGTGCAGTGCTGACTGGCCAATTATGTAATTACAGTTGTCTAATGTGAATGGAAAGT